ACACACACACACACACACACACACACACACACACACACACACACACACACACACACACACACACACACACACACACACACACACAGGGCTGTGCCATCTTGTGTTATTCTGGAAGCGGCGCCACTCGCCGTGAGTTGCGACGCATGCTCTCTGCATTGGCAAACATGTCGAACAAGGTGAGACGCATGTGGCAACGATGACAACATGAGCACAACAAAGAACAGTGCATGCATGCAAGCAAGCAAGATTGGAGCAGATCACACGTGTGTGTATGGGGGCGGGAGGGGTGACCCACGAACACAGGAAGTGAGCTGGAAGCCATGTTGCAACAACGGAACGACAACTAACGTCACACTCACACTCACACTCACACATTCAACACACACTCAAACTCACGCTCACACATTCAACACACACACACGCGTACGTTGAAGGTGGCGCATACGGGCAGCTTGACCGGCAATAGGATCTCTGAAGGAGTACAATCAATGAATTGAATCAGATCGGTATTGTCAGCATTGCCGAGACCACACCGTCAAAATACAGTCGGCGGTACCACGACGGACACCGAAATCCAGAACAACAGCTGCAGCAAGCTCAAGGTGTTGATTGTGGCGCCATTTTACCACGCATTCACAGCACACACACACACACACACACACAACATGGAAACAAACGCGTAGTTGCAATACAGCCATAACGTAACAGCACAGCTGTGCACTGCAGTGCAGTGCAGTGCAGCACGATGTTGATGCCTCACCGTTGCATCGTTGACACAGAGCCGCGCTTGGAGGAGAGCTGCGACATCCGGCGGCCAGAATCTTTAAGCACGCCCAGCTGATATGTGTTGGACTTGAAGCGCAGACGACATCCGCAGCGGTTTGTCACGCACATCCACAGTGCCCATACGGCCACGCCTGGTGAATACGAAAAGTAAAAGGTGCAAGTGCGGTGCACGTGTGGTGCAATAGATGGTAGTAAAGAAGAAGAAGAAGAAGAAGAAGAAGAAGAAGAAGCAGATTGCCATTGTGTGAGTTTAGCATGATACAGGGTGAAAAAAAACCCCGGCAGCCAAGCGTGCATGCTTCTCTGCAGTATATGTGCCAAGCTGAAGGGAAAACGGGACACACTGGGTATGTGGCGGTAATCTGGTATGCAACACCAGTTGCATGGCGGAGCAACCTCACCAAAGACGAGGCAGAAGACGACGACAGCAATGACAATGTAAGTGTTTCTGCTGCTTTTGGCGGTGCAGCGGTTCTGGCAGTCCTCTTTCTCGGGACCGAAACAGCTTCCGCACGAGCACGCGGAATGGCACGCCGCAGAGGCGCATGTGGTTGGCGACGATGCTGTGGTATCCAGGACGCGATACACAAGATCGTGCCCAACAACGCGGCTCCAGTCAACCTGAACAGCAGAAACGGAGACAGACAGTGAGTGGGGGGGGGGGTTAAGGGTAGGGACAATGAAAACCCCAAGTTGCAGTCGGAAAGGGGTAAGGACAAGAGTATCAGGTGGTGCTGCCACTCGAGGCAATCCCAGTACATATTCGCTTGCTTGGGCCTTTGGGAAGATGTGTGGCTGGTTGCTGCATCATAAACACAGGCGCTTGTCGACAGTAACACTACAAGGGGACGAAGACGTACCGCATCTGCATAGCAGAGGTCTTCGTTGAGAAGAACGCCAACACGACCAAGACCGAGCGATCCAGGACCAGAGACTTGCCGAAGGTTGTTCAGGCCGTCTATCAAAGCAGGAGGCACGGTCACCACAGGCACAGGTCGACCAAAGAAACAGCGAGAAAACAAAGCATACAGCCGACAGCAAGCAACACCACGATCATTGCACAAACGAGCGCGAGGTGGGTGAGCTTCACACAATCAGTCAGCGTATGCTAACGGCTGTGGTGCAGACAGTTGGTGTGCCAACAGAAGGGCACGAGAGCACGAGAACATGACAACAGGGAGGGTGGGAGAGCAAGTGGGCAGGAGAATAGAAGGCGCAATTCGCTCAACCAACTTACGGAGGCTCATAAGGGCGTCGTTGTTGCGGATGAGAAGGGCAAAGCCCTGTTGTTGATTGGGAATGTCATACAGCGTGGAGCCATCAATTTCTGCGAGAGCACACAAGCCGTCGTCAAAGTACGTTACATTGTTACATAGAATTAGAAGACAAATGCAGACAGAGGGGTCAGCATGAACCTGCTGTCGCTTTTCGTCGCACAAAAAGGAACGGGAAGCCGCAGGAAGCAAGTCAACAACAGCACAGCAACACACACGCAAAACACACGCAAAATACACACACACACACACTCAAACAACACAAAGGCAACAACTCTTCAACACTGCTCTTGCTTTTCGTTGCACAAAAAGGAACGAGAATACACACACACACACACACACACACACACACACACACACACACACACACACACACACACACACACACACACACACACACACACAAAGACACACACAAAAACAGCAACTCAACAACTTAACAACAACACACAGACGCACTGTTCAAGTTTCGAAGGCCGTTGAGGTCTGTGAGGTTGTGGCAGCCCTCGATGCGGACGTAGCCCGTGACCTCCGTGACAGTGTGAAAGACCTCCAGCGAGGAGATGGAGCTGTCGGAACACACCACCTCCAAGCTGCCATCCAAGGTGGTGCAGTCTGCAACAAGGTTGTCAATGTCCTCTGCTGTCTGCACAAAGAAGATGCCATCTTCGGCACGTGGCGGTGCAGGTTCTCTTCCCGTTGAAGGCGTGCACACGCCACCAGGCTTTGCCCACACCAGCCCACCACCGCCACCACCACCCAAGACCACCGCCACCACCACCACCACAACCAACAAACACAAACACCGTGTTGTTGCCATCATCATCATCTTCGCCTGCTGCGTGCGCGCAAAACACCAAACACCAACCAACAAACAACAACAAGCAAGCTGTGCGTTGCCTGCGAGCAAAATGCTGTGAAATCTTCCACAAATTCTCGATGAAGCCCTTGAGCCATCACGACAGCATATCATGTAGTACTGTCACTCCACTGCACCGCAAGCAACCGCGGCTCCCATACGTCCAACGCCCTTCAAACTCCTACGCATTTTGTTTTTGTGGTTTGGTTTGGTGCGATCCCCCATATTGTGCGTGCTGCGTGCTTCGTCTGCGTGCGCAGAAGCACCAAAGCAAACAAGTGCTCCATTCGTCGACACAGCTGCGTGCAGCAGTCGCAGCAGTCGCAGGTGCGCGTGCTGCACACCATTTTTTTTTCGCTTCACATCACATTCAACGCACACCGACCACATACATCATCGGAGATGACGACACCCAGGAGGGCTGTGGCTGTCACACGTGCTGTGGCAGCGTTGATGATGTTTGTGTTGGTGGCAGCAAGAGCGCCGAGGGCGGTGTTGGCACAGGCGCCACTGATTGCCGCCAGCTTCGAGGCTGGGGAAGACACGATTGCGTGGACTGGGGGCACGGCGCGCACCACCTGCGGCCGCAACGCCTTCATCGGCAACAGCGATGAGATCATCTACACAAACAGCATCACCACGCCTGCCAGCAGCAGCCTGCTTCAGTTTGAGTTCTTTGCGGGCGATGCCTGCGGTGTTGAGTCCAGCTCCTTGTTGTCGCTTCGCATTTTCTTCCGCCAGGGATCCTCCTACAACGAGGTGTCCGTGTGTGTGTGTGTGTGTGTGTGTGTGTGTGTGTGTGTGTGTGTGTGTGTGTGTGTCTGTGTGTGTGTGTGTGTGTGTGTGTGTGTGTGTGTGTATGTGTGATCGTGTGTGATCGTGTGTGATCGTGTGTGATCGTGTGAGTGATCGTGTGAGTGATCGTGTCTGTGATCGTGTCTGTGTGTCTGTGTGTCTGTGTGTCTGTTTGTGTCTGTGTAATCGTGCAGTGTGGCCGCACCCTCTGCATCTCGCTCTCGATCTCTTTGTCTCCCTGTGAAGTCATTTGCATTGGTGCACGTTCATCCTGCACTTCGCTGTCACCCTTTGACGATCCCTACCTACCAGCTTGTCTCATGTTGCCGCTTGTGTGCTCTCGCACATTGTTGCTTCGTGTGTTTGGCCGATGCATCCATGCTTAACAAAACCAGATCACGTCATGCTCGCCGTCCACCAGCTCCAGCTGCTCCACTGGCATCCTGTTTCCGGGGCCCACATACCCTTCTGACTTTAGCGCGGGCAACTGGGTTCGCATCAACCTCCCGCTTCCGCCCAATATCCAGTGAGTCGGTCATGCCGTTGATCGCGCGTGTGTTGTGTGTGTGTGTGTTGTGTTGCGTGTGTGTTGTGTGTGAATGATGCGTGGACCTGTGCTTTGTGGTCCAACAGTGACCATGGTGTTTATCGTGTGCTCACCACAACTCACACACACACACACACACACACACACACACACACACACACACACACACACACACACACACACACACACACACACACACACACACACACAAAAGGGGAGAGCTGGTGTTTCGAGTGGGATCGTCTGTCACGGCACAGTGGGGCATCGACAACGTGTATGTCGGCAGTGGCTGCGCAAACGGGTGCGCGAGCGCCGGTTTCTGCAACCTGACGGCCTCTGTCATGCCCACATGCGCCTGCGATGCTGGCTTCGTGCCCCACCCAACGCTTGGCTGCGTGCCTGCCACGGCGCCTCCAACCACGCTATTTGAGCAGTTTGAGGACGACATTGACTGGGAGGTGAACGGGGGACGCATCACCTCCTCCAGCGCGTGCGGGCGGGCTGCGTACGGCAACGCCCTCGTCTTTGATCGCAAGTCCGAGCGGCGCAGGGCCCTCACGCCGGTTCTCGACGCACGCAGCGCAGCCCGCATCAACGCGATTGTGCAGATTGGCGGGGAAGGGTGCGAAGAGCCAGACAACATTGCGGAGAGCGTTGTGATTGGCTACTCCCTGGACGGCGGCGCGACCGTCATTCCAATGCGCATCCTCTCTTACTCAAGCTTCGAGAGGGGCGGCTACGGTGTGTGCCTGTGTGTGTGCTGTCTGTGTGCTGTCTGTGTGTGTGTGTACGCCTGTGTGTGTGTGTGTGTGTGTGTGCTGTGCTGTGTGTGTGTGTGTGTTGTGTGTGTGTGTGCTGTTTGCGTATAGACGTCTTGTCCTCCTCTGCCATCCGCCCTCAACACACATCACAACACGCCGCAACACACGCGCACCGACCACCAACCAATCACCAGTGTCTGTGGCCATTCCCGAGGCCGCCCGAACGCCGTACACGCGCTTTGCGTTTTATCAGTTTGCTGCCAGCGGAACAACCACGGATTTTTGGGTGAGGGCGCATGCTTGCACGTGATATAGCCGCTTGTCACGTTGAGATACAGGAGTGCCGTCATCTGACATCAATGCGTTCAGCAGCTTCCCCAATATCCTTTCTGCCACCCTCACGCTTCGACACACACACACACATGCACATATGCACACACAACACACGCATTAGTCGATTGACGGCGTGTCGCTGCAGACGTCGGTGCCACTGCCGCGCATCGCCAGTGCACTGACAGGACCTGTGCTCAACACCACCGAGTTTGTGTCTGCGGCCGGCACCAGGTTTACGTCGCTGTGCCAGCGAAACGGGCTCGTTTTCTCGCCCACGTCCAGTGTGCAGCACCTGATTACAGCGCCCATCATTCCCAAGGCGGGCACCATGATGCAATTTGACCTGTCCTTTGGCTGCACACCACCCACAACGTCGTTTACGCTTCGCCTGGAGCGCTCCACCGATGGCGAGAGCTTCTCTTTTGCCGGCACCAGCAACTGCGACATCCAGCTCTCTGCGTGCACGTCGTGGTCCCAGTACGAGACGCAGATGGTGGCAAGTCGCTTTGGCGGTGGGTGGCATCGCATCACGCTGGCTGTGCCTCCAAGCAGCGCGCCCACGCAGTTTCGCATCAGAGCATATACGCAGGCCAACAGCGCCTGGGCCATTGCCAACCTCTACATCGGCAACGAATGCCCGTTTGGGTGTGGTGGTCTTGGCACTTGCGTTTCTGGCACGTGTGTCTGTGACGAAGGCGCCGTGTCCACAAGCGACAACAGCTGCGGCCCCGCCAGTGTCAACACCGAATTCCGCGAGGTGCGATGTCATTGGTGTGTGCTAAGATGCTGCTGCTGCTGCTGCTGCTGCTGCTGCTGCTGCTGCTGCTGATCTTGTTGTTCGTGTTGTTCTTGTTGTGAATTGACAGCATCGTCAAGTGGCGAACGTCATTGCTGCGCTGCTGCTCCCGTGTCTTTCTCCCTTGTGCCGCGCAATGCGTCGTTCACGCACACACACATACGCACGCACACACACACAATCACTGCATGCATGTGCAGACATTTGAAGATGGGCTGTCCCCTGCGCACTGGTCGCTAGTGGAGAATGCGGCCATTGCGTCCGACGGCGGCGGCTGCGGCGTTGTCAGCGAGGGCAAGTCCTTGTTCTTTGGCAAGGGATCCTATCGCACGGCGCAGACTGTTGACCTGGACCTTCGGCGCGGCACCCTCGTGCACGCCACCATCAAACTTGGAACCCAGGGCAGCGGTGGCTGCCACTCGCCGTCTGCCTCCTCAGACTCCGTTGCCATGGCGTACTCGATCGATGGCGGACTGACGTGGACAAAGATGCGCTTCTTCCAGTACGACAACTATCGCACACCGTTTGTCCACTCCACGGTGTTGCCCGAGGAAGCGAAGACGCGCCGCACCCGCATCGGCTGGTTCCAGCAGTACCCGGATGGCAACGGCCAGGACGAATGGGTGTGTTTGAGTTTGTCTGGGGGCTGTAGTTTGCTCCTTTTTGTTTGTTTGCTGGTTTGTTTATGTAGGCGGGTGGACGAGTTGTGAGAGCTACGTGCATATGCGCTACTTGTGTTCGGAGGCCCTATCGCAGCGTGAAACTCGCACTCATACACACCCACACACACAACTGCATTCTCACGCACGCACTCACTCTCACCCACACACACACACACACACACACACAACTGCGTTCCCACACACTCACACACGCACGCGCACTCATACACACACACACGTACACACGTATCATCCATCCACGCTGACTTGGCCTGTGCAGAACCTGGACAACGTGTACATTGGATACAAGGACGACAACACTGTGACGGCGATTGGCGACGACTTCTCGCCGCTTCTGGTGCCAAACTGGCTGTTTTATCCGTCGTTCCGCGTGTCGGACCAATGTGGCCGTGCAAGTGCTCTCGTCAGCCAAGCGGAAGGCGCGCAGGCGACAACCCGTGACATCAGTCTCAACCGCCAGGTGGTCACGGCGTTTGAGCCATCCCTCACTGCCTCCCCGAGCTCAGCAGAGTGGGCGGCTGTGAAGGGGTTCCGCTTCACGAAAGCGTGCGGCCTCGAAGCCTCTGGATGGCTCTTTGACGCAACATCCGGTGACCGCCACGTACGTTCTCCACTGCTTTCCCTGTGTGCATGAGAGAGAGTGTGTGTGTGTGTGCTTGTGTGTGCGTGCGTGCGTGCGTGTGTCTGTGCATGTGTGTGTGTGTCTGTGTCTGTGTCTGTGTGTGTGTCTGTGTCTGTGCATATGTGTGTGCCCTTGCAAGTATTTGTGCTCTGCATCAACTTTCATCACCAGTCACCTCCAATCCTTACCTTCCCCCCCCCCATCTGCTACTTGTGTTTCATTGTTGTGACAGGCGGAGACGGTTGATCTTGACCTGTCGTCTTCTGGGCTGGTGCTTGAGTTTGACTTTGGTTACGGCGCCGGCAATTGCGACGGGCCAGAATCGCCATCAGAATACATGTGCGTGCGCTTTCATTGTGTGCGCATGCAGTTGCCATTGTTGTCTTGTTGCTGCTGTACGACACGACCAGCTTGTACATGCTTCAAGTACATTGCCGTCATTGGCGTTCCCTCCACGCCTCAGCCTTCATGACCTCCCCTCCTCCCCCCCCCCCTTCTCTCCTTCAAACTCTACCCTTCACCCTCTCTCCTGCACTTTGCCCCACCACACCCCCTCAACCCTGCCTCCGGTTGTGCAGTGTCTTGGAGTACAGCGTGGACGGTGGCAGCACGTGGCAACAGCTCACGTCACCGCTCGGCGCCAGCTCTGTCCACCGGTATTCGTACCGCCTCGACAACTACCCCTCTGCACGCACAACAGCCACGCGGCTGCGCTGGCGCCAGAACGCGTACACGCAGGACGCCACCAGCAAGGACGTGTGGACGCTCTCCTACGTGCGCATCCAGGGTGTCCCCAACTCAGACCCCGTCCTGTTTGTGGAGTACAACCTCGGGTGCGGGGAGGGGAGTGGCGAAGCAGCGTTTGCCATTGACTACAGCGTCAACCGCGGCCAGTCGTGGGTCACGTGCTCCCAGTGCAGCCCGACGCCAAACGGCTGCAGCGAGTGGCCCCAGCACGGCGAGTGCACCTTCACCACGGACACTTCGCCCCGCAACACCTGGCGCCGGCTGTCGCTGCCCATGCCCAATGCCGACACCGTTCGCTTCCGCCTGCGCGCCCTCAGCGACGTCCCCGTTGCTTTTGACAACTTCTACGCTGGCGTGCAGTGCCCGAGTCGGTGCGGGGGTCACGGGTTTTGCACCCGCAACGGCACGTGTGTGTGCGACGACGGCTTTGTGCTTGGGGTTGACGGCAGCTGCGCACCAGTTCCAGGCGCCCACCCGTCCTTGTTGGTGGAGGACTTTGATCCCTTTGTGCCTGCACAGTGGGCTGACGCGACAGGTGGCGTGGTGGCCACCAACGGCGCATGCAGCGGCCTTGCTGGCGGAAACAAGATGGTGTTCAAGCTTGGACAGCGCCGCGCTCTCGTCACACGTGACCTCAACCTGCAACATGCAGACTTTGTTGAGTTTGTGCTCCGTCTTGGTGACCCAGCCACGTCAACGTGCACGGCACCTTCCGTCTCACAGGAGGGCGTTGCCATTGCATACTCGATTGATGGGGGCCTGTCCTTTGCCAAGATTCGGGAGTTTCAAGCGGGCCTGTACTCCAGCGCAACCCACTTTTCTGTAGCACTGCCAGACAACGCAAAGACCCCCACAACACGCATCATGTGGCTGCAAGCAACAGGCGAAGACAACGTTGACGTCTGGGTGCGTGGTTTGATGTGTACATGTGAGCGTGTGTATGTGTTTGTGTGTGTGTGTGTGTGAGGTGTGTGTGTGTGTGTGTGTGCGATTCACGCTTGTTCATTGCGAACTTATGACTGTGTGTGTTCAGTGTTGCCACATGTGTGTTTTGATCCAACTTCCCCTTCCCATTTGTCTTCGCCTTGTGCAGGCCATTGATGACATCTACATTGGTCCTCGGCGCGCCGCTACACCATCTCACCTGTTCCAATCCTTCGCTTCGCCCATCAGTCGCGACCTCATTGCCATCACGCCAAACGGAGAGGTGCGTGTGTGTGTGTGTTTGTGTTTGTGCATGCGTGTGTGTGTGGGTGGTGTTAGGTGTGTGTGGGTGTCTCTCTCGCTCTCTGCGTGTGTGTGTGTGGACGAGAGCCTTTCTTTTGTGTGCATGTACATGTTTGGTGTTACCTATGTGCGTGTCTTGCAGCGGTGCTCCCCACGTTTCGCTCACTGGCCCTTGCATCCCCTCAATTGTTCTGCCGTGTGTGTACTCACCACTCACATGTGCTCTCTGCTGGCAGTTGGCGGAGCTATGCGGCCAGCCAGCGCTCGTGTTTTCGGGATCGCAACGCGTCAACGGCGAATCCCTGCTCACGACAACCACGATCGACCTCCCACAGAACGCGTTCATTCAGCTCGTGCTCTCCACAGGCTGTGGCGCCCCATCCGCTGACTTCAGAGTGCGTTGTGTGTGTGTGTGTGTGTGTGTGTGTGTGTGTGTGTGTGTGTGTGTGTGTGTGTGTGTGAGAACTACCTGTGCAAGTGTTACTAATAGAATCATTGCGCAAGCGACGTCGTAATTGGAGGTACGCAAACGGCCAAATTTCCTACAGTTACCAGACCGCCTAGCAAAACCTATGCCACCGTTAGACATGAGGTCATGGACCAGCCTTGCGCAGTGAGTAAACCTGGGCATGTGGCTCCAATCGCAGTCTTGAGGAACGGAAACTAAGACGGGATCGGAGGATTCACGCCCGCTCATGTGGCGACAATTTGTGGCTTTAGACAAAGCATCTCTCTCAAAACTCGTCGATGCTCGGTGTACCGCCAGAATAGGAATGCAGTATACTGGAGGTTCGATTTCAACGCGTAGTGGGTCTTATAGAAGCTACGTTGGTGATTCTATATTCGACTTCTAGAGTGCGTGTGTGTGTGTGTGTGTGTGTGTGTGTGTGTGTGTGTGTGTGTATGTGTGTGTGTGTGCGTGTACGTGTGTATGTGTGTATGTGCGTGTACGTGTGTGTGCGTGTACGTGAGTGTGAGTGTGTGTGTATGTGCGTGTGTGTGCTAATGCACACATGCACACAAAGCCACACATCCACATCAGCATCCGCATCTGCAATGTTGAGGACCCAAATCTTGTTCCTTGCTGACTTTCCTCGTCCACTTCAATGACATGTCCGTTGCCTGCTTATTTCTCACGCACTCCATTCCGCTCCACACAGTCTTTCTCCTTTGCCCTCACCGTTTTCCTCACCATTCCCACTCGCTATCCTCTTTGCTCTCGTCCCTCACCCCCCCCCCCTCCGTTCGTCCCAACATCGGTGGCTGTGCAGGTGGAGTTGGAGCGATCTGTGAACGATGGCGCGTCGTGGTCCTCTGAGCACAGCACGTGCAACCCCATCACCTCCACCGCCTGCAGCTCTTGGTCTGTTCTCACAGACAACCGCCTGTTGTCGCGCGATTGGGCGAGTGGCTGGCACCGCATCACCATCCCTGTCGGTGCCTCCTCCCACGTTCGCTTCCGTCTTCGCGCCAGCGATGCGTACAGCTCATCGCGCACGTGGGCGCTGCGCAGCTTGTACATTGGCGCTGGCTGTGGTGGCGACTTCTGTGGCGGCCACGGTACCTGCATCAACGGCACGTGCACGTGTGACGACGGGTTCTCGCTGACAGATGCGGGCAGTTGCAGCGTGAGCACTCCGCTTCCCCGCCAGCTGTTTGAGTCGTTTGAAGCGCCACTCTCATCACGGTTCTGGCGCCAACAGCCGAATGGCGGCAGCTTCGACACGGGCAACTCATGTGGCGTCGTCTCATCCGGCCGCGCCTTCAAGTTCTACGGCACCAGCACGCGCAAGCTGGAGTCAAACGACCTGGACACGCGCGCTGCGGACTTTATTGAGTTCAATGTCTTCACAGGCAGCTCGTCCCTGAGCACGTGCCCAGTCATCACGCGGGAAGCGGAGGGGGTGGTTGTTGCTGCGTCAACCAACGGCGGTATCACCTGGACAAGGATTGGCACGGTTGAATACTACTCTGCCTCGTACGTCCCATCGCAGTTTGCCTGCTGCTGTGTTTGCGTGTGCACTTGCGATTGCGCGTGTGTGGCTGCATTTCGCTGTGTTGTTGTGTGTATTGCGTGCAGTGCAATGCTTCATATCATCTGTCCACACACACACACACACACAACACACGCGCGCGCTTTCTCTCTGACACACATGCCTGTCACTTCCTTGTATTTGTCTCCACACCTCTTGTTTGTTTCCATGTTTGTGCTTCATTTATTGCGTGTCTTCGCTGGGCCAGAACCCTGCCGCGCCGCCGCGCCATCCCAATCCCAGCAAACTTCCGCACTGGTAGCACTCGCTTTCTCTTCTGGCAACCAGAATTCTCCCCAAACTACGATGCCTGGGTCAGCTGCAGTGCTATTGCGACTGGACTTTCTCTTTGAGTGGCTTGCGTGCGTGCGTGCGTGCGTGTGTGTGTGTGGTTTGCCTGTGGGTCCTTGGAGTGTCCTGCATCCTTCACCATCCACACGCTTCCACTGCCACACACACACACACACACACACACACACACACACACACACACACACACGTGTGCACCTGTTTTACTCAACTCCCACTGTCTCCCTCACACTATGTTCCTGCAGGCCCTGGACGACGTCTTCGTTGGCTGCGCAGACCTGCAGCCGAAACAGCTGACGCAGCTCTTCCCGTCCCTTCCTCTTCCGCGACAGTTTTACCCAAGGTCTGTCAGATCTGGCATGCGCAGTCGTGCGCAGAGTGCATGCTTTCCCGCATGTGAAATGCTCCTTCCAGCCCCCTCCCCACTGCACAATTTCACACACCCACGCACACAGCTTGTACCCCTGGTGTATAGCGTCCTTTCGCCCTGTTCATGTGCGTCTGCTGCTTGCGTGCCCGTATGCCACGTGCTGCAGACAAGTGAACGCCATGGCGACGGAGGTGTGCGGCCGGCCAGCCATGTCCTTTGCGCCAGCGTCGTTCCAGTCCCTACAGGTTGGGCCTCTCGATTTGGACGACAAGGGCGCTTTCGTGCAGTTTGACCTGTCCACGTCGTGCACGGCCACCGCTGCCAGCGGCTACGACGTGCTCCTGTCACAGTCAAACACGGCGTTTGAGACGGCATCGGCGCTGCTGCAGGTGTCGTGCGAACCGCTGACCTCTAGCTCGTGCAAGTCCTGGTACTGGAAGATGAACGAAGTCTCCTTCAGCTCGCACCAGCTTGCCAACGGCTGGACGCGCGTGGTGGCGCCCATCTCCTCCCCAACACGCGGTCTTCGCGTTCGCATTTCCACGGACGTAACGCTGAGCGTGAGTGGCCGCACGCTCGCCATTGCCAACTTGTACGTCGGCAGCGGCTGTGGCGGCGGCTGCGGCCCCTTTGGCGTGTGCATCAACGGCACGCGCTGCGAGTGCGACGCAGGCTTCAGTGTGGATGCAGCAGACAACACGTGTCGTCGCACGAGCCCGCGCAAAGGGTTTCTTGAGACGTTTGAGGACGAGGTGCTCGCGTCGCGCTGGAGCAAGGTTGTTGGCGGCGCCTTCCAGACATCGCCCTGCGGCCCGCTCGCCGCTTTCAACTCGCTCTACCTGGGCGGAAACACGCGCCAGCGGTTTGTGTTTACGCAAGAGCTTGACCTGCGGGGTGCTGCGTTTGTGGAATATGTGCTGCGCGCCGGCGGCTCAGGCTGCCTTGCACCGAGCGTGACCCAGGAGGGGCTTGTGCTCGGCTACTCGCTCGACGGCGGAGTGACGTCCTCCCTGCTCGAGCGCCACTCATACGCGTCAAGCACAAGCGCAACGCAGCACATTGTGTCTCTGCCGGACGAGGCGAAAACACAGCACACGGTGCTTGGCTTCACCCAGCCCAATGCAGACGGCCTGAACGTGGATGTGTGGGGCCTGGACGACTTCTATGTTGGCCCAACAACAGCGTCGCTGCCCCAACACGTGGAGATTCACTTTGAGCTTCCGCGATGGGACACGGACCACTTTCTGTTTGCGCCAAACGCCCAGGTGAAGACGCACTGCGACAAGCCGGCGCTTGTGTTTACGCTTGGCTCTGGCGTCGGCCTGGCCTGGTTCGAGACCAACATGCTGGACCTGCAAGAGGGCGCCTTCATCCAGCTGCTGGTGAGCGCGAGCTGCGGTTCTGTGGGCGCCCGCCGCGACCTCCGCCTCACCGTTGAGTCGTATGATCTCGGCGACTCCCAGTGGCGTGATCTGCCAGCACCGTGCAACCCCAATGCCGCCTTCAACTGCGATGCATTCGGCCTGCCCGCGGGCTCAAACCTGCGCGTGACCGATTATGGCTCGGGCTGGACCCGCGTCACCTTACCTCTGCCCTCCGTGGCTTCTGGCCGTCGCTACAGGTTCCGCCTGTCGTGGCTGCAGTCTGCGACTGTTGCCATCACCGATGTGTACATTGGCAGCGAGTGCCCCTTTGCCTGCGGCGGCTATGGCCTGTGCAAGAACGGCCAGTGCGTCTGCGACGAAGGATTCGTACCGCACGCAGAGCGCGGGTGCGTGCAAGCCACGGGCCCGCCACAAGAGCTGCGAGAGGCGTTTACCAGCGCCCCGCTGTCCCCTGCGCGCTGGCACCGTCTGAGCGGCGGCGCGGTGTTGGCCGATGGCGGCGGATGCGGCACCATCGCTGCTGGCGGGTCTGTCCACTTCAACGCCGACACCGCTCGCTACCTGGAGAGCGTGGACGTCAACACGACCTCTGCCCGGTTTGTAGAGTACACCATCCAGACTGGGAACAGCGCCGGTTCCCCCTGTCGCTACGTCTCCCACTCGGACGAGGGAGTTGTGTTTGCTTACTCCACCAATGCAGGCTACACCTGGCATGTGTGAGTTGATGCGTGGTTGAATCGTGTGTCGTGGTAGCCGCACGTGTGTGTGTGTGTGTGTGTGTGTGTGTGTGTGTGTGTGTGTGTGTGTGTGTGTGTGTGTGTGTGTGTGAGGGTCGGTGTTGTGACGAGATTTGGGGGAGATGGGGGATCGTGCTGTGTGTGCATGTATTGTGCGTGTGCGTGCTGTGCGTGTCTGAACGCCCTGAGTAGGCACGTGTGCACAATTTTCGCTTGTTTGAGGCTGCCATGCACATTCCCCACACACATCCATGGGAATCAAACAAACAAACAAACACAAACACAAACACACACACACACACACACACACACACACACACACACACACACACACACACACACACACACACACACACACACACACACACACACCGCGTCAACCCCCCCCCCCCTCTCGGACAATACAGACTGGAGCACGGCCGGTACACGTCGCCAACGCGTCGCTTTGTCTCGCTGCCAGAAGGGGCGCGCTCGCCGTACACTCGATTCCTATGGTGGCAGCCCGAGTTCTCTGCTGCTGACTACGACACCTGGGTAGGAGGAGAGCCAGCACGGTAGACTGTGTGCGCTTGCGATCTTTCTGTTTTGTGATTATAGCGGTATCACTGCCGCGGTGTAGAGGAAGAAAATTTGATGTTGGTTGCCACCCTTAATGACATGTGACCCGCTCGACGCCTGTGATTGATTTTGCGTTGCGCAAAGCTTTGTCGGCCGTTTAATTTCCACACCTTTTCCTGCCCGCGTCACACCATGGCTCACCTGCTTTGGCTCCTGCGATTTCGTTGTCAGAACATTGACGACGTGTATGTTGGACCTCCGGGCAGCGTGACGCCAACCGCAATCGTTGAGGACTTTGGCGGCAACGGCGACGGCGACGCTGATGGCTACGACGCTGTAAACTTCGTGACCGTGCGAGGCGGTGTCACGGAATCGTTCTGTTCGTCAGAGGGCAACGCGCTCGTATTCAAAGAGCAGGCTGTCAGCGAGTTTCTCATCACCACCCGTGACGTCGACCTTCAACCAGGTTTGGTTGTGTCGGCTTAGCCATGTGAACATGTGATATGCTCGTGTTCTTGTACATGTACCTTTGTGTGCGTGTGTCTCTCTGCCTGTTTGTACCTTTGTGTGCGCACTTGTCTCTCGCGAACGTACCTACGCACCGGCTCACTACGAGTGTATTGTTTGCGTGTTGCTGGTGCAGAGGAGCTCGTGGTGTTGATGGACACGCTGTCCACTCCAGCATCGTCCTCATGGAAATCTGTGCAAGGCCGACGCCAAGCAAAGGTGTGTGCATGCACGTACGCGTGTGCTTGTGGATGCAATTGCTGGTGTAGTCTGCGCTGGCTCACGTGTTTATCATGCACCTGCTTTCCTCTCGACACCCACCTGCCCTGGTGAATGCGATTTCTGCGTTGCTGTTGTCCATGCAATTCCAGGATTGCGGACTGACCACAAGCGGATGGGTGTTTGACGGCCTCGGGTTTGTGCGCGTGGCGGAAACGGAGCCACTCGACGTCTCTCCCACAAACCTGAAACTCGCGTTTACATTCACCTTTGGCGCTGGCGGTTGCGATTCCCCGGAATCGTCTGCCCGCAACGAGAATGTGTACGTTTGTGCAATTTGACTCAATGGTGTTGTATGACTTGAGTTGAAGGGCTGTGCTGCTCCTCCATGCCTTGCTTGCATTCTGCTTAAACCACCAACATGCCCTTGGTCTATCCTTTTCTGACCATCCACACGTATCCATACATCACATCACATCACCTCACGTTACGTCACAATCCGTGTGTATCTTCGTGTCCAGGTTCTTGGAGTACTCCATCGACAATGGCCAGAATTGGAAATCGATGATGGAACTCAAGTACCCGACGCATCAGAACACCCGGGTGTCGCTTGCACTCGACGACGCTGCGCCAGACCGCACGGCGACGACCAAGTTCAGGTGGATCCAACCAACGTTCACGGAGGGCATGGATGTGTGGGCGCTGGCGGATGTCGGCGTTGCCGGCACACCGTACACCACGTACTACCTGCAGTTTGACCTGGCCACCAACTGCGAGGGCGTGAGCGGATCCACGGACCCCATCACCGCGTCATTCAGCGCGGGGTTGATGGGCAACTTCATCGACCTGCAGCAGCTGACGTGTGACCCCACCACGGTTGCCTGCTCCGAGTGGCAGCATCCCGGCACCATCTTCGGCAACGAGGCGTACCGGGGCTGGCGCCGCTTCACATTTGAGCTGGGCAACAACCCCAGCGCACACTACCGTATTGCCATTGCGCGTGATGCCGGTGCCGTCAACACGTTTGCCATCGACAACCTGTTTATTGGCGGCCTGTGCCCAGGCATGTGCAGCGGTCATGGTCGGTGCACGCTGGCGGGCCGCTGTGATTGTGACGAAGGGTACACGGGCACTCGGTGCGAAACGCCGTCAGCACGCCTGCCCCAATCGCTCGCCGTCGACTTTTCGAGCGGCAGCGTGAGTGCGTCCCACTTCTCCAGCTGGACTGGCGCGGTGAAGGTGTGCAGGACGGGGATGGTTGGTCTTGTGTTTGATGAAGACGGGCGACACGAGATTACGACGCGTGACATGGACCTCAGCGGTATCACGGAGATCAAGTTTGGGTTTGCGCGTTGCAATGTGCGCAGCGAGACGGTGGCTGTATCCGCCAGCACGGACGGTGGCGTTCGATGGAAAATGCTGGGCCGCTACTCTCCCGGCAGCAGCACAACAGAGGTGACCATCCCGCTTGAGGGCGCTCCACTGATGCGCCTTCGATGGTGGGCAGACAGCACAGAGTAAGTTTGCATGGATGTGTGCTTGCACGTGTGTATGGGCGCGTCTGTGTTGGTGTGTTGGTATGTGTGTCTGTGTGTTGGTGTTTGTGTGTGTGTGTGTGTGTGTGTGCTTGCGGTTGTAAGCATAAATGCCTGTTGCTTGTGTCTTTGAATGTATGTCTGACGCCGGCGTGTGCTGATGTGTGCTGCCCTTCGACTGTGGAATCGTTCTTGTGTCTACCTTGCACAAACTTGCCCGCGCACACCTCCATATCTGCCGCCCATCTAACTGTCCCTGTACCCTCCTACCACCTTTGCGCCATCGACTTCTTCATTTCAACCTTGCCACTGCTGCAGCTCGAACCATCCGTGGTTCATTTCGCACATCAGCGTGCAGGGTGAGTGCGAAGCAACCCCTGACCTGTGCTCGGGCAGCAACGAAGTCTGCGTCAACACACTAGACGGGCACACGTGCGAGTGCGCTGATGGCTACATACGCAACGACAACGACGAATGCATCAAAGGTAGCCACGATCCGGTCACTTGTACCCCGTGTTGCGTTCCGCGTAGTGTGTACCCGCTTGTGTGCGTGTATGTGTGCCTTCGCATCAGTTTGTTGTGTTGTTGGCTTGTCGTTTGACTGTCCTTGCTTCGCTTGCTGTTTCACTTGATGTGACTGTGTGACTGTGTGTGTGTGTGTGCGAGGGTCTCCTTTCCTACACGATTCCTCACCGCGTTCGCTGGCCTGCGCCACAGATCTCTGCATGGACGTGACGTGTACTGCATCTGATGACTGCCAGAAACCGGGCGAATGCAATCCCGAGACAGGTCGCTGCGGTCCCACAATCCCTCTCTCAGGAATGCAATGGTGCGGTGGTGAAACAAGTGATTTGGTGTTTGTTTGTGTTTGCGTTTGTGTATGTTTGTTTGTGTTTGTGCCTGTGCCTGTGATTGTTTGTTTGCGTTTGTGTTTGCGTTTGCGTTTGTGTATGTTTGTTTGTGTTTGTGTTTGTGTTTTTTTTTGTGTGTGCTTGCGTGTGTGTCTGTGATTGTGTTTGTGCTTGTGATTGTGTTAATCGTTGCGTGTGCTCGCGTGTGTGTCTGTGATTGCGTTTGTGTCTGTGATTGTGTTGATCGTTGCGTGTGCTCGCGTGTGCATGTGTTTATGCTTTGTACATCTGTAGTATTCTTTGTGTGTGAACACGCTTTTGTTGTACATGTGTTCAGTCACCGTGCGTGCTCTTTCTTGCTCACTGTGGCCTCGGTTTTTGGATGTACGTTTATCAGCGATGATGGCGATGTGACCACTTTTAACGACACGTGCGTTGAGGGCATGTGCAAGGGCACTTCCCTCTGTGAAGGCGTCACGTGCCCGAGTGCAGGACAGTGCTTTGTCCGAGGAACCTGCAACCGCATGACTGGTGAATGCGTTCCCAGATACGCGCCGAATGGCCAACAGTGCAATGACGGTGCGTTTGCCCTGTTGGTACTGCCGCTTCTTTTTTGGGTGCGTGTCTACTCGTCGTGTTGGAACCCAAGGTTGCTGCTGGCCATGAACGCCTTCTGTCTCTTTGACATGCACATGCAACCACTAACAAACATGCAATACGCGTGCACGCACCCGCACGCACAATACACAACCACAACATACACGCACAAACACAACACACACACTCTCTCTCTCTCTCTCTCTTGTCTTTGCAGGCAATATGAACACGGTCAACGATACGTGTGTGAACGGCCAGTGTGTGGGCCAGCTTGACCCATGTCTGAATGTGTCGTGCACGGGGACGCCGTCGTCGTCGTGTTACAGCGCGCTCGCGTGCAACCCCGACACGGCGCAGTGCGAGGCAGCAGGCCCACTCACGGGCACGCCGTGCAACGATGGCGATGCCACCACAACAGACGTGTGCATTAACGGCGAGTGTGTGGGCACCCCAAAGTGCTCCGGCGTGACGTGCGAGTCAACAGGGTCAAACATGTCGTGCACAACGTCTCGATGCAACCCGCTGACGGGGCTGTGCGAAGCTGTGAAGAAGCCGGACGACAGCGTGTGCGACGACAACAACACCAACACCATCAACGACCACTGTGTCAACGGCATGTGTGTCGGCCAGGACACGTGCGCAAACGTCGACTGCTCCCCGATTTCCGCCTGCCATGATGAAGGCACCTGCCAGCAGGGCGTGTGCTCCACACCACTCCTGGCTGACGGCACGCAGTGCGACGACGGAAACGCGGCAACCGTGCAGGACGCCTGCCGGAACGGGGTGTGCGTGGGGCTGCCCAACCTCTGCCTCAACAGCACGTGCGCGCCTGTTGGCGAGTGCCAACAGCAGAGCCCCTGTGACCCCTTGACGGGCGTATGTGCAACACGCAACGCCACTGACGGTGCGCTGTGCAGTGTTGGCACGTGTGTTGGCGGCCGCTGTGTCATGTCCACGCCGCAGTGCGACACCAGGACGTGCCAGGGCTCGGGCCCATGCGTTGAGAACAGCTGCGTCAACAACACGTGCGTGTCTGTGTCGCTTCAGGATGGCACCGGCTGCGCATCGACACTGGTGGCTGCCGGTGTGTGCTCCAACGGCACGTGCGTGGACCTGTGCGCTGGCGTGACGTGCGCACGACAGCAGTGCCACACCACGCCGGGCTGCAACCCCATGACAGGCAGCTGTGTATCCACGCCAGTCCTGGATGGCACAACCTGCAATGATGGCAACAACACCACCGTCAATGACAAATGTGTGTCTGGCGAGTGCGTGGGCACGCTTGATCCGTGTCTTGGCGTGGATTGCTCGCAACCGCCCAACGACTGTCAGATCGGCCCAGGAACATGCAATGCTATGGGCGAATGTGTCTTTGCCGCGCGCACCAACGGAACGCAATGGTACTGTTGCCTGTCCATATTCGTGCATGTGTGTGTGCATGTGTGTGTGCGCGCGCGTGTGCGTGAACCTCTGTGTGTGTGTGTGTGTGTGTGTGTGT